GTATGCAAATCCCGTGTAACGCAGTTGAAAAAAACAATTTTTTCAAAAACAAATCCTCCACGTACAGAGTGATTCGTTTAGATCAAGACACTATTTTTTCTTTTCTTTTAATAAAATAAAATGTTGTAGTAGTTCTTTTTGGAAACTTTTTTGTTTTTGTTTAACAATATTATAAAATAACTAAAATATATATTTTGCCAGAGCTCCGTCGATTTTCGATCAACTCAAATGGTGACTAATATATTTGTTGAACATATTTTTAAATTGACAATATTTTGACTGGTCGATAACCAGTTTTGGATACTTACGCAAAATGTAGGACGGGAGATCGGGGAGATGTAGTAACTTTTAAAAAAAATTACCCAAAACAGGTTATCGAACAGTCGACATTTTCCGTTGATTATTCTTAATCTAGAAATTTAATAAAGTATAGACACGACCACTCGAGTTTTAAAAAATTTAATAGAACTCTGGAAAATGTAAATATTTGGTAACTTTATAATATTGTACAATAACATACCTACCTAATTGAAAAACGCTTTAAAAATGAAAAACTATAAAATTGCTATTGCTTTCAGAGTACATTTATGTCTTACGTTAATTGATCACCGACAAATAACCAAAGATAATAATATGATAATGTATTATATCTACTAGTGTGAAATAATTTAGCAAATTCGTTACAAAGTTATACACAGAAAAAAAGCGACAAAAATAGTAACGCAGTATGTAACATGACGTTAATGTTATTATAAAACGTTATTTGTTAATAAAAACATGGCAAATTTTAAAATAAAAAATAGTAATGTAATAAAAAAAACTTAATCGTCAAGCTTAAATAAAAACACTATTACTCAAATATATTATATTATATTATTTAATTTTCCTCTATCGTAAGCAGTAGCGTTATTGAAGAAAAAAAATGTAACTTAAGTAACGTGGAGTCAAAGAGCTCATAACATTTGTAATAGTTGTAGTAGAATTAATTTTGTTTTCCATACTTGATTTTTTTATTAAGTTAACATCGAATACATTGTAAATGTGCCTGTATTTTTTTTTCTAACCAAGGCAACCAGTATTTAAAAAAAAAATTATGTAACTTTGAAAGTTTCACTTAACTTTTTCCCATCTGTAAGTTGACAATCTTAATGAGTTACAATTTCGCCGTTGTTAAAGTTACTCCATTTACAATGTATATACTAGGCAGACGACCATCAGAAAAGTGTGTAAAGTCTGTACTATTGTGGAATTTCTATCTTCGAATGAAATCGAAACCGCATATAAATACACGGGCATATAAAACTGACCGATTGTAAAATAAAAAAATCGTCCACATCATAAACGTGTGAATAGTGTAACATTGACATTGTAAATACAATTAAAAATATTATTAGGTGCCAATAACAATAATTATGTACCGAGCACACGAACGTCTTATATAGTCGATGGATAATCTTAGGTTTTTTATTTGTTAATCAACGTCCATTGCTGATAAACGATGTATTATTTAATAATTAATGTTTTCGACATTTTAAAAAGGCAGATAACGCGTCATGCATGTCATTCGCTCGCATTGAGGCTGTACAAGAAATTTAGGGTCGGTGAACTCACTTTTGTACGATTAAGAACATCCTATCTCTCCCCCCCCCCTTACAGACCAAAATAACAAGTGTTTTTTTTCTTTCAAAATTTTTTTTTTTAAATACAATGAACGGATATTTTAACGCGCGAGGAAACGTTTCTACACCGTTTTTTTTAAAAAAAAAAAATCACTTTATTCTATGCCGGTCGCAAATTATAAACGAATTACCTACCTATCTAGATTTGTATTTAATTTTTTTTTTTGCATTTAAAGTTAAGTCGTGATAGCCGTCCGGCAAGGTTGGTATTAACTTGACCAGATTGAGTTACAACAATTGGCGCCGTGTTATCGCCAGTTTAATTTTAAAGTACAGACGAGCGAAATTAATTAAACTATAAACGCAAATACTAAACCAGAGTGAGTATAGCCTTTAATCAATTAGTCGGATGTTATTGAATTCGACCAACGACTAAAAATTGAAGTTTAAAACAATTTATTGCAATTGTTTCAATGAAAACACTGTGACTTGAAACCGGAAAAACGCGGTGGTGTAAAGCAAAGAGGTGTGGCAGCAAGAGTTTATTTTTTTTTTTACCTAACCGTTTTTTTGACAAACGGCAATGGCTGAAAAAGTGGAAAAAGAGGAGGAGGAGGACAAGCGCAGAGACAGCAGCTGTCTCGATAAATAAATAATCGTCGTCACGAATAACGGCAATTTGTAATAACAGTCAACTGCGATGCTATGTATACCATTGGAAAATACCTAATGGAATATAAATAGCAACCAATGCGCGGTTTTTTTTATTTTATTTTCACCTAAAAAGTACTCATTTTTTAAGCAAGCATTGAAATGCATTCATTGAATTTCATTTCTTTTTTAGAGGAATCCAATCATGAATGTATTACATAAATTTGCTAACAACGAGGAATGGTAAAGCATTGGTTTTATGCCAGAATAAGTACGCAAATGAATGGATTCCGAAAAAAAAAAAAAAAACGATTTTCCGTTTAGAAACGAGAATTAATTATTTTTTCAATCATATTCGGAGTCAAAATTTTAGTGGCTTCAACGTACACCGGTTAGTCGGTGGTCACCTTTGGGCCTGTCTTTAATCTACCTGCCTACATCTACAATGAAGGTATATTGTTACAATAAATCAATTTATATGGTTTACCTATACAGCTACTCTGTTTGTAATCATATTATTTCAATAGCTTCAATATAGCACAAGAGTAAATATTAAACATGATTTTTTAAACAAGTTTTGAAATGCATTCATTATGAAAATGAAGAATGGCGAATGGGATACTTTTCAATTTACTTTTTTCATCTCAGAAATGGCAATGCAATGAATATAATAAAAAAACACCGAGTATAATCTACATAATATTTTAGGTTTTTTTTTTTTTTGAGGAGCAATATTTTTAAACTTTTTTTTTGTATCCGAGTACAGTTTTAGTATACCAACCGTACATGTAATTACATCTATTACATTGTTGTTAAAACATTAACGCGCCGAAATAATGTTCTCTAATCGTTGTGCCGATAAAGCAGCACAGGCGAGAGGAATGTCAATGAATCAATTATTCATTAAAAAAAAATGATGATATGCGACACGAGCAAAACGAATCGTTTAACAACGAAATCACATTCAAAACGAGTAAAAACAGTGCACTTAATACATGTTTATTTTGGGTATATATTATACGAATCATTTTCAAACAGTTATATTTGGCTATTTGATTGCTACAATTTAACATCAACGAGTACCGTTAAACTTAGGCAGCTGAACATGTTTCCAAGTCACGTTTTTCTCAATAAACCCGTTAGACCAAAACTATAGCCGTTACAAAGCAATCCGTCTTAATGCCTTTGGTAACTTTTAACCCATTAACGGTGCAGCAACTGAAGTTGGTAAAACAAATTATAGCACTTGAAGGAGGGTCGAATTTGTTGTGGTCGGGTTAAATACTTGTATCTATGGATATATGTTTTTAATTTTTCGCCGATTTGGACATTTTTGTGACATGTTTCTCAATACCTTTATATTTGATTGTAAAATAATTCCTGTACAGGTTAGGTTAGGTAAGGTTAGCTCGTCCGTTGACTTATAGTGTGCACTGCTATCCACTCGAACCACAGGAATGTTCAATGATTTTACATGTTTTTTTTTTTTTTTTTTTTTTATCGGTTTGGTATCGCGATTACCTCCAAATGGGATATTATATTGGTATGATGCGATCGGCTTTATGTAAATCATCGCCAAAAGATAAAATAATAATATGTTGAGTGCGACCAGAACGTACCAGATGTAATAATATGTATACACGTTGTGGGTATTAATTATTATTCTACACACTTTCAAGCGATGACTTTTGTAAGCTGGTGTGTGATGTTTGTTTTCAATGTAAAAAAAACTTTTCGTTTGCATTAATTGATATTATAACGTACGACTTGCGCAATCACTTCCTATATATATATATATATATACATAAATGCACCTGGTAACTATAATTATAATATTATTATACTATATGCTGTACCGGTTGTAAAATGTGTTGTGATTACTTATTTCGTTTGTACTTTCACCGAGCGGCTTACGCGCGGTTATACAATAATAAAAACGACATCCGATAGCGAGTCGGTTAGCTTAGGATATTTCTGAAACGGAAAAACCGTATTGATTAGAAAATATCTATGGATAAAACCAAGATCCCTCGAAGACGCCGGGTAAAATATAGTACTACCAGAGTGTTCAAACGGCGCTAGTATCAATCACGAGAAATTCGTTAACTGTTAAACAATTATTGCAATTTTTAATATATACTATACTGCTAATGTGTTTCAATTCACGAGGTTCGTTAGTTTTTTTTCCCAATATCGTATTTAAAAATTTAAAGAAAATTGTACACCAAGTACTAATGTAAAACTAATTTTAATAAAAATTGGTCACTTGTACCCTTTTGGTCAATAAATTAATTTTTTTCCAACTTCCTCGACTTATCCCGTCCGTCTAATCTATACTAAGTCTAAATCTATCTTATCCTCTATCTACATAATATACCCACGTTTTCTTCAGCTTTACCAAATGCTCTACCCAACTCATTTAAATGTATACATTTCTCATTCCATCAAACCCCCACATTTCCATTTCGGGTATGTTGGTTTTATTTCTTTATCCAGAACTGATGCAGAACTCAAGCCAGTCAGTTGCCTCTGTCCGCCTCGTCCAACTGTGCACATATTTTTCACGTGTCGCATCTTCTTCGCAATTGCGCCAGTCTTTTGCGCAAAATTGGGCATCAATACTGGTCGAGGGTCAGGGTAGGTTCTCTATAGCTCGAACTCGCGGTGCTCGAGAAATCCGAGTAAATTTTCAGTTTAATTAAAGCGAATGGAAAAAGGTTGGGTATGTACCTTGGACGGCGGCCGTCGAGGACGACGGCGTAGCGTTGCTGGCGGTGGGCGCGCGTGGCGTCGCTACGTATACGGGCGCGGCGGTCGGTGCCGGCGGCCGGTGGTACGTCGAGCTGCTGGGCGACTGGACGCAGACGTCCTGGAAAGCTGCGTGCGGCGACGATACGGCCGATTCGACAGAACCGGGGTCGTCGCCGAACGGCTGCGACGACGACGGGTCGTGGCTCTCAGAACCCGCGGTGTCTGTGGTGGTGTCGTCGAAAAAGCTCAGGTTGAACTCTTCCGTGGTGCCGGCGCCGAACGATACGTCGGCCGTCAGCTTGTCGGGCGGAGGCGCTCCGCCCAGGCCCGTGCTCAACGACTGGTTGAACACGTCCATGGCGTTCGGACCGCGATAAGGGTGGCTTTTCACAGCGAGACTCGCGACGGAGTCGGCTGCGGTGGCGGTGGCGGTGGCGATGAGCACGACAACGACGGCGGCTGCGACGGCGGTCCCTGCGGGTCGGTCAGGTCACGGCACTGCAGCGGAACATGGTGGTGACCGCACATGGCTGTTGCACGCTTATCTCGTGGACGGACTCGCGGCAACACCGACAGGTCGCATACTAAAATATTATTTTTATGGAAACTACGAGCAAAAAACAAAAACACACTCCGAACACACACCGTTGCCCTGTTGACGGATAGGGGAAAAAAAGGAAACAAAATATTATCAAAATCCAATTCGGCGATCGGCCTTTATCGCGCGTTAGGACTGTGTTACACAATAACTACACACGTGTTAATCCCGCACTCGAGACACCGCAAACCCGCTGCCGTGTCTTGGTACGTGGAAGACGGCAGGTAAACTACTACTACGCTATGTACTATGGCCGGCCCGTGTAAGCGTATATTATGGTTGTGTGTGAGTGTACTGTTGATAGTTCAGTGACCGCGGCCGCAGGTTGTAAGATGAAGTGGCAGTGGCGGCAGCGGCGGCGGTGGTGGTGCGGTGGCGGCGGCGGCGATGATGATGATGGTGGCGATGGTAGTACTGTGTTGTACGCACTCGACGTCGTAGCCGTCGTCGCGGCGGCACCGGTACCGGCATCGGTTTAGTGGGAGTGCCGCGGCGTGATGCCGCCGCAGCCGCAGCGACTGCGGTTGCCGCCGTCGTCCGGCGGGCCCACACAGGATTCATACTTACTGCCGGCCGCCAGTGGCGATGAGTGTCGCGTGATGGACACCAATTTGTTTCTATTATTTTGCGCCAGCCACCAGATGGACGCCGGTCGCTATCGTTTTGCCAAAGTTCCTTTTTAATGGGAACTGATTCAGTTACAAACCTTGGAACTGGTTCAAATTACAAGTTCAAACTTATAAATGTTCTAAAAGAAGAACTGGCTTCTTTTTCCGTTTCATTAAATTATGAAATTCATCTGTAAGTTCAATGAGTCCTATAGGAAGTATTTACTCTTCAACCCCCCCCCCCCAAAAAAAAATTGAAATCAGACCATTCAACCAACAAAATGGCATATGTAACTCATAGGACAAATTGTATAGGTTTAAAGTTTACACCTAAAAGCTCGAAGAAATTAATCTAGGAATTTAGTCGACATGATCAAAACTAAGTAAAACCTGCATTGCCAAAATGGGAGACACCTTACAACTTATGTAAGATATAAGTTAAAATCCTTTTTCTATTTTTTTTTCATAATAGAATAAATTGTAACTATAGCCAATTTTAAGAAATAATGACGTACAACAATAGTGGTCGTCCGAATGTGAGAGAGGAGGAACAAATTTTGAAATCTCAAATTATAGGTACCTTAACAAGTGAACAAGTGTGCCGAGTAATTCTTTTTAATGAAGTATATATTTTTTCATTTAGTTTTATAAAAAAACAATACTTGGCTTAAGATTGGAGCTACTCCGATGTTCACCCTCCTCTTTGGTACCCAACTAACGAATAGAGAATCGCACGGAAATTTTACATTATAATGTGTAGCCAAATAAATAAAACGGTTATCTCCTTGAGAAGGAGCATTAATTGTTGTTTTTTGATATTTCTATCATTAGAAACCATGTTTAAGTCCCTGAGCATCATGTTTGTGCGCGTTGAGCCTAAAATGTTTTGAAAATGTCTGTAGAAACATTGACGTACACAATTTTAATTGTACTAGTTTTTTAATCAAATCATAATTCAATAAAATTGTAATTTATTCGATTATCGAACAATAACCTTTGATATCAACAATTTTAATGCAATTTAAAATTAGATCGTTTAAAACGGGTACAAAATAATAATAATATATATATATATATATTTTTTTTTTAGCATAATGTGTTAAAACGTTATCATTGGCAACGTCACTATAATCTTACCGTTGACATGTAATGAAAATTATTTACTAATAAAACCAGCATTTAAAATGCAAAAGATAAATTATCATATTATCATATCAAATAACTTGACCTATTATATCGAAACTTTAAATAAATTTATGCTCGTATTTAAGATAATAGTCAATTTAGTCAGACTTGTGGATTTCTTTTTAAGGGAGTAGGTGTTCTATATAAATGCTTCCGGACCATAATTTCGAATAAGTTGCGTGTCGTATAAAACGAAAGATTCCTCTTTTGAGGATAAAAAAAGTTGCTTCTGCGAACCAGTGGGACTGTTTGTACGGTTTTGATTTATAATTCAGCTCTTCCTTTCACTTGGAAAAAGATGAAAACCCCAAATCAAGTCCTCGGTGAACTTACTGTGATAACCCAGCATGCATTGATAACATCCTGAATACCTTCTATACCGACTCGGTTTACACCTCGGTAAACTCTGAAAGACAACCGCAGGTGAAACGCCCGAAAGTTTCGAGTGGAGAAAAGTTGATAGCAAAACCGCAGAAGCATTGACGGAGATCAGGAGAGGGGCTTGTATTTTAAAAGAACCTTTAAACTTAAAATTAGTCCTACATTTATTTTATTTCAACAATTCTCTCGTTAAAAAAATTAATGTAGGTATTTGAAAAAGCACTAATTTTAAGTATTATGGTTTTTAAGTACCCTAAGCCCTCCTCACCTGATCTCCGCCAATGCGCAGAAGCCGTTCGGAATGTATAATAAACGTACAGAAGTGCCTCTGGAACGATTTCAAAGAGAATGCCGTGAACGTTGGAGATAATAACCTGACAATGAAAATGTCCAGCCGTATATAAATATATATATATATATATAATCCGAGTGCAGCGATAACGCGCAAGTATGAAATGCCAATTGGAAAACGCTACCGAGCAGCGGGTGAACGCAAAACCAGTTCTATCGGCTCCTATTTACAAATATTATACAAGGTGTATCCGAAATGACCATCACACTGTAAGAGTTCGTCCGTTATTAAGTGGTTGGACGTCAAATTCGTTGGAATTGAAAATAACATCAAAACTGTAGCACAGATTAGATTTAACCAAATAGTGCACTCCTTAATAAAGCAACGTGATTGCTGAAAATGTAAACACGCCAAAACCCTCCTCAACACAGAGAAACCACTAATAGGAAACAAAATTCTTTATGAATAATTTTAATTTCAGAATAATTAAGCATCGCTGATTTTATAGGGAAAAAAATTGATAACATACTATAGTAAAATTATTTATACAATAATTTAATCTCCAGAATGTGGTCACACTAAGTAGAGAAGGGTTTCTGTTATCAGTAAATGACGACGTACACCATCTGGTTTTGTCTAATCTGTGATTCTACTATTCATTTTATTGATTATTATTACACCATTACCACTGTATGAAAGAAACAAGTAGGGACACTCGGCTTAATAGATATTTTTTTATTACCAAAAAAGGGATCTGCTAACTCTTTTTCAATAATAAACCAAATTGCCAGCTGTCTTGTATTGGTCAGCCAATCAAGCAGAGTCACCGGAATCCGCCGTTTTTGTGAAATTATGTGACATAACTCATACATTTTCAGTGATAATAAAATTACTTTTAATCGAATACAAATCATACAAGTTATTCTTTAGTTTATACATTGCAGATAATTTTTTGTGACATTCAATTTAGCTACACCCTGTGTGTATATTATACATATTTCTGCACCCGCAATAAGTTCAAACGACGGTCGTATGGAATTCTATAGACGGTTTGCTTTATATTTATTTATATATAATATAATATATATTGTTTATACTATGGTACAGAGTGCGCACGGAAACAGTATATTGGAATACAACTCTTTGTGGTATGTAAAATTGTATAATGATTTTACTCGACATTTGCCTGCCGTTTGGTTGCTGCGAAAAGCTTCTTTTAACCCCTCCGTTTGAGTTCAAAGAAAAAGCCTACATAGTACTATATGTGTATTGAATGCCATTGCCGTTGGTCTATTCCACGAGCATTTTCGCATTGCCTTTTGGACGTTATTTCAAAAATCTTGGAGTGGTACGTTGGTTTCCTGGTAAAACGCATTATTCGGCTGCCGTTCCGGCCGGCAGCGCATTTGCAATTTAATTAAACACTAGTAGTGTAGAAAACGTCGTCCCCAGTCATGATGTGAGATTCTTCGTAGAAAAACACATTACATCCGACCCGACTAGATTTATCGTTATGATATTCTGACTAGTGTTTTCATACGAAAACAACTAGATAGCCGACTCGGTGTTAAAGCTCATTTAGTTTGGCAGCCATTCACCAAGAGGGCAAAGCATACTACTGATCATGCCATAAAATAACCAATCCGCGGTGAATTACATGATAACTGCCAAACAATGATATTGATTAAGACTACATTATCATTGTTTCGATGTTCTTATCTGTTATATACTTCATGGAATACTTAAAAATGTCATTGCTCAATCGAAAACGTTTTGCCCTGTTAGTATATGGCTGCCAAACATCAGATACACTCATCGGGTCGACTACCTAGTTGTTTTATGTATAATTATTATATATCTATGAACCGTACCGAGTTTGTGCAAATGCACCACATCCAATTTTATTGATTCGGTCGTGCCTAGATACTAGACTTTAAAGTATCTTGTCGCCGAAGTTAGGTGACACGCTGGTATTTTTTCGTCTGACTTTCCAAACGGTATATCATGTGTGTACACTTACGAATGTCAGCACACAATACCGCGATTATGCCGGTCGGGATCGACCACAAAAGCTTTACAAACAGTCTGGCGTCGGTCGTGAGGTCCGCCATCAGCCCAAAATATAATTGTGTATTCACGCTCCCGTAACCACGTCATATTTTTTTATGTAGACATGCTAACGTTGTAACAAGACACGTGTAATGTGTGTACCCACACTGGTGTTATGAAATTATAGAGAGTCGCCGCATAAATCGTACAAACGCGCACGACGGGTGTGTAGTGATATACATGCACTAGGTATATATGGTGTCTTATAACATTGGTTTGTGATACCCATCTCGGTGATCGCCAAACGAGCTGCCCAAACGTTTGTTTTTGTACAGGTATTATTATTAAAAGGCATGCCGGATTGCACGTGTATCCGTTGCCCAGTCCAAATACAGTGATGAGAAGTAAAATATAAAAAAAAAATTTCTATCAGTTGGTATACGTTTGGCGGGCTTCCCTCTAGTGGCTTAAGCTAATGCATCATTCTGTTTGCAGACAACTCGTGTGCATGCATTACATCATAATGATATGGTCATTTCTTGAATTGGAAAAGGTCTGGCAAAATCCGTGATATTTTTTCGTTTTCGAAGCTATAATCTTCGCCGATGACTTCCGAAAAACGCTTATTGTGATTTTCAGACCGGTTTAATGTCAAACAGCCCAAAAAGCGAGTCATGCCATGACTAATTGCCCGGTCGATTTTGTCCGAACCGAAAACATGCATTAGCTTTCCATCGAAACACGTCGTCGGCCAGTAGTAGAATAGTGAACAATATTTTGAAATGGATGTAATATTATATT